CGGCCCCGGCCCCGGCCCCAGCCGGGGGCTTTTCTTTCCCCTGCAGCTTGGGGAAAGGGCGCTGAGGCAGGCCGGACGTGTGAGGGGAACCAGGCGCAGGGAGCCGCAGGGCTGGTGGTGGAGTCGGGCACAGAGCAAACGTCTCCCTGAGCCCAGAGTGTCCCCCTGGCCGCTGGGTTTTTCTGCCTCCTCAGCGGTGGTGATTTGAAAGTCGTGTCCTTAACGAGTGTTTTACTTAAAGGCTATTAAAATAGCGTTGTCAGAAAGCACGCTTCCAGTTGCTTGCTACGCCCATAACGTTCAGAAACACAGGCAGCGTTTTGCTAGTCCTAAAGCGGAGAACCTCGCTGTTGCGCTTCTAATATTACGTTGTGCAGTTTCACGGATATGTAGCAGATGGTGATCCTTGAAAACTTTTCGTGTCTTTGGAGAAAAGGTTTTCAAGAATCGGTGTGTGTGTGCTTTCCTCACCCAAAAAGAGCAATTACAGAAAGGCATTGACTTGAAGTCAATGTGCTGTAAACAGTTAAAAGTAACCATTAAAAATAGCATTTGGCTTAACTTACTTTCTTGCTACCGTATCTTATGTAGGTAAACATTAAAGCTTTGGAAAATGTATTCTGAAATAATGCTGATGTAATTCATAAATTACATACCCATACTGGCCCTAGTTTTTCAGGGATGCTAAATGAACTCGATAGCTAAGAAGAAAAGACTATGAAATTCAGGTGTGAAACAGCTGTCTGACAGAGTAGTGGACCACTGCGTTTCTCTGAGTATTGCAGTATCATCACTGTTGTTTTCTGTAGTCAAAATAATAGAGTAAGTCAAATTTGGGAGTCTGGCTTATTTTGGGAGTGTTTTGAAGATCTGACTTTTTGAATGCCTCTTTTTTTTTTTTCTTTTTTTTCTTTCCCTCCCCCCTCCTTAGCTCAAATACATAAATTACAGATATATGTTGTAAACTTATTTTGTAGGAGCAACTGGTCATGGTGGAACTGTCAGGAATTATTGATTCAGACTTCTTAGAAAAATGTGAAAACAAATGCAAGATTTTGGTGAGTGATTACAGCACAATAGGAAAGGGGTAAGTCAGTATACATGTGAACAAGGAGGAATTTTAGGAGCTGTTTCCAAATTCCTTGAAGTTGATGAAATTTAGATCACATCTCTGGTACAGAATTACGTGCTTGTCTTGGCAATAAATTGGCTGCAGATTATTGGGCTCTCTATGTCGGAAATGTCACGTATTCTCTGAATGTAGTATTAGGCAAATGTATGGAAAAAATAAAAATTGTCTGTAAGCTAGGACCATTATTCTCTCTGATATTAAACTCTTATTTTAAAAATGTTCCAATGAACTATTTTTTTTTTTAATTCAAATTTGGTAAGTGCATTTCTTGAAATAAGTTGGACACAGCTGGCAGACAAAGCCCATATCTGTTTAAATGATTCTGTGTGTACTGTGTTTTTTTGCAGATACTGCCTGGCAAGCTGCAGTGTTACAAATGTAAATCGGGTCGTAAGCATTTTGTAAACGCTTTTGGAGGTTAGGTTGTTCGCTTCCCTACAAAGTTACTGCAAGAATCAGGCTTACCTATCCTGTGCCTTTGGGGTTGTTTAGTTAGTTTCTTTGTGTGGGACAAATTTCTCTGGTACTCAAATAAAAACTGAGATTGAGAGCTGTGTAGAGAGTACAAGTATAACTGCTATGCAAATACTTGGTGAAATTGGACATTTGATAGACGGTCAGCTGCAAAGATGGAGGAGCATGTCTCCGAGTATGCCATTAATCAGAATGTATATGAGGTAGTAAAACCAATTGTGAAAATCTCAGTTAGAGAGACAAACAGTGCTTTTCTTTTTTTTAAGGCAGTTTGTTTCCTGAGTCTAACCCAAGTCACTTGACATGTATTACGCAAATGATTCATTACTGGTAGTTGAACTGTTGCATATTTTTCAATAGTGTTAATATGAGTGTTTTAAATTTTTGCCTGGGGATTCTGTTGCAAGGTTGCTAGAAAAAATTTTATGTATTTATACTATAGCCTGTTCGTACCCAAATATGCCTGCTGTCCTCCACAGTAGCCATTCCCTGAGATCGTTCATCTTGCGTCACGGAGAGCTGTTGTTAAAACCCCGGTAAAAAGATTCCATCTTGCGTTATTCTGCTTATCAAATTTTCTGTGATGCTGCTCATGTAAGGGGAAGTGGTCTCTGTTTCTGCACAGCCTGCAGTGGAATGCCAATTTGACCAAAGAAATAAACAGTTTTGAATGTTAAAAACCTTACTTCTACATACTACTAAAAGTTTTGGATTTCTGTGAATTTCCTATAGTAAAAAAATCATGTTCCGCGTATTAGCGTAATGCTGCTGATATTCTCAACTTCCACAGCAGAAAGAATCCTGAGGCTTAAATCTTACTGATCTTACAAATACTTCTATCCGTTAAAAATGCTAGTGAAAATAGCACAAATTTGTGCTTAACTGTGCAATGTTCTGTGGGTGTTTAGATTTATCACGTAGTGCCTCATCTTGAAAACTTTTAGCGTATGTTTATGTTCATAACCTGAATAATGTTGATGCTTAAAATATACTATTTAAAGACGTTCTGCCTTAATGTATTCTCTTCGTATGTTTTTAGCAAAATACAGTTTTTAGATATGTTTATATTAAGAATAACGATGAGATTCTGACGTGTATATTTGAAAGGGCTCAATGCCAGTAGAACTCATGAGGCCCTACTGCAGAGGAAGGGAGTGAGCTGATAGAACTGCCACCGTATTGCCCTATTCTCTGTTTTAAAAAAACTAAATAACAGCTATTTCCAGCACTTTCATAATGTTAAGTACACAGTAATGGCAGAAGCTTCTGACACTGAGTAGATTCTGTAATGCTTGATGCTGGACTTCTCCCACCATCTGTCTTTTCCAAAACTCTACGAGTTTGTGGAACTTGTATTAGGTGGAGCTTAACAAAAAACTTCATTTTTCACACACACACACGCACACGCACCCACCCACCCTCCCCCTTGTTTCTTAATTTACCACTGAGGTTAAATAACTTTTCTTAGAGGCAGTAAGAGCTGGTTGCAGTTTGATCTAAACTTCTTTGGTCCTCTGTATACTGATCTTTTTTTTTTTTTTTCCTCCCCCTTTTGTCTTCACACTAGAACTTACCTATACCAATTCAGCGTTGCTGATTTTGCTATAATATGGGAACAGTATCAGTAGGCACGCTCTTTGAACTTACTATGTGTGAAGTAACATGTATAATGATGATTGAAAAATCATCATGAAAATAATGTTGTTTTCAGTTTTACAATAGTGGTTCTGTAGTAAGATTCGCTAATCCCTTTCTAACAGCTGCTACCTCTGCTTAACTAAGCCTCCCGTAAAGACAAAGAAAACTTTTTTTTTTCCTCCCAGATGTTCAAAAGACCTCAGCATTCATTGTAATAACTCAAGATACTTTTATTATATTTCAGGAACATTGCTAAATATTAATTTGATTGCTTCCCTTCCTCCTCTTTCAGGGTTCTGCTGGCTGCCTGTAAAATCATGGCCTTCACAAAACTCTTTCATCTGTTTGTCTAAATTTTGTTTTATAAATGTCATTCTCTTCATATGAAGCTGATGGGTTGAGGAAAATTTTGCAATCTGGAATACCTTCTTTTCTCTAGTACCAAAAGAAACTTTATTTCCCAGTAATAGTGTGATGGAATACTTACTTTGCTTTTGTTAACTTCTGTTGCTTTTTTTTTTTTTCTTTAACTGTATTTATCTTTTCAAGGAATTAATGTTGGATGATGTAATCTGGATTCTGTTGTATCTATCTTCTCTGGTCCAATATCAAGAAGCTTGCCTTGACTAATGGAGACCTGACATCTGTGCAATTTTGTCTCCCTTTTCGTAGGGAATAGAGACAGAGAGGCCCATTTTACAAGTGGACAGATACGTCTTTGCTGGTGAATATGAGGGTAGGAAAAATGACATGGATATTGTCTCCTTTTTCAGGTGACCAAAAGAACTTTCTTAACATTAGTTAATTTCACTGCAAATGGAGAACGCTGGACTTTGAAGTGCTGAACTTCTGAGCGATGTTTGTGTAACACCATGTAGAGCAGCGCTATTCTGGGTTCGGTGCTAAATTAGCCCTGCATCCATGTTGCTTACTGGCAAGGATGCCTGGAAGCTGGCTCTGGAGTGCACCAGCTGGTGTTTCTGAGGGAAAGACTGTGGGGCATAGTAAGTGCTTACTCTGGGGCATTACTGTGTCCTATGTAAGCAGGACTGGCATTTTCTGCAGCTCTCCCATTTGCCTTACGGTGGCAAAATTGGGAAGAAAATGATCTGGAATACCCCTTCATAGGGACTTGCAGACAATGACCCTAACAATCCTATTTCTGAGTTGGCACGGTAGTTACCAAATGCTGGCTCTTCAGAAAGGACCTGAAATGTGAATATTCCCAGAGTTGTACCAGTGAATGCAGTATCTATAGCTGATAGAAATTAGTCTCTAAGACTCTATCATTTTGTTTTCCATAGATACCTTGGGAACCTGTGTGGTTTTTGAAGAAAATGCAGAACATGGTAATTAATGTAATTTGATGTCCTGTTTGTTGTGGTAGCCCGAGAGATTCAAAATAATTTTCATCTTGTCTCAGTTGGTGGTGGAATTCACTGTAATGATTGGACTTTGGGAATTTTTTTTTCTCCTTTCTTCATAGCAGATGCAGAAGGCAACCCAAAGCTACAGCTGAAATACAAGTGCCATACAATGAAGAAATTGAATATGACACGGACACTTTTGACAGAGAAGAAGGAAGGCGAGGAGAATGTTGGTTAGTGCCTCCATTCTTACACATAGGGACATTAATACACACAGGAACATAATCCGTTGATGGATTGTGCTAGGAGTGTTTGAGTGTGTGATTCAAGAGTGTACAGGAAATTAGAAGATGTGAGTTTTCAGCTTTCTTCTTGAGGGACCAAACGTACATCTGGGGGGAAGGAAAAAAAAAAAAAAAAAAAGGACATCTCTGATCCAGTCTAGATCCCTCCTGCCTGGTAGTATTTCCAGAAGTGGCTAGTAGGAGGTGCCTACAGAAGAGTGTAAGAACAGGACGAACAAATACTGATACTGCCTGGTGTACTTTTCTGTCATCTAAGTTTTGGCATCAGTTCTGAAGTTAGAGGTAATATCTTTCTGTGCAATAGTTCTTCATTCATTTTACTTGCATTTGCCTAATGGCTTTTTGAATCTGTGTAATTGTTTAAAATCTGTAATATCCTTGGTAAGAAGTTCTATGTTTTATATAGTATAACTGAATTGTTCTTACTGAATTAAAGGGAACTGTAATTGAGTTTAGTTTACCTGCAGAGAGAGACCTGTCAGACCGTATATGTTGATTTTTGTTCTGTAGGCAGAACTCAGTGCTTGTATGTTTGCTTTATTTCAGTGGTATCTTTTTATATAGAAGTCTGTACTTTTCCGTATTCAGATACAAAGTATCCCACTACCCGCAGTCATACCATATCAATGTCCTATTGCTTTTAGTTGCTTCTTTCACTCAGGTCAGTGGTACTGCTTCATATTTTAAGAATATGTAGCCATTTTACATGAGATAGGGAATACTCAACTGGAATTTGATCATATGAGATAAAATGTGAAATGTCGTCTAGAACTCTAATCACAAGTCAGCGTCTTCTCAATACCATTCACCATTTTTTTTCCCCTCCATATAATTAAGTAGACAGTATTACCAAAAATTATTCATTTTGAAGAGTAATAGAGTAGAAAATGGGCTGCTTAATATCAAGGCCAGTTTTTTTTTCCGGGGAGCAATGATACTTGCTCAAAAACAGTTTTTCTGTCACCTGACAGAAGCTTAATACTGTGCATACCAGGACGCCTGGAGAGTTGACAGTATGTACCTCCTAAAGATCTATTTAAATGGGCAGGGGAATTCCAGTTCCATTTGGAGTCTCTTAGATATGTGTTATAATAGCTTGATGTACTTGAGTTCAGAAGATGGCACAAATTCTTACAGTGTCTCTGATGTCCCATTACCAGATATACTAAGATTTAGATGAACAAACATTGCATTCTTTTCAGTGCCTCTGTAAAATATCTTCTTAGCATTTTGAATGATTCATAAGTTACTTTGAGAGTTTTTCAAGGTGATGTCTGACACCTAAATACAGTAGTGCTGCCATACTGGATCAGACCAAAGGTATTTTAGTCCTGTATTGTGTTTCTGACTATGGCCAGCAGTAGATGCTTACAGGGAAAGGTATAAGGAGTAAGGCATATACGAGTGATTCTTTTATTTGACTATCCTCTGAGTGTTCAGTGGCCAGCAGTTCATGAATATTCTGAGCAAGAGTTTCATCTGGGCAACGATGTCTGTGGTCCGTAAAGGCTCTATCCTCTTAACTTGTCTATTCGCTTTTTGAACATGTTTATACTTTTGATTTCTTGTGGCAGTTAGCTTTCAAATCACAGTTCTATCATGTGGAAGAAAAGTACTATTTTACCGAGGGGGTTCTTGATCGATTTGGGAGGGGTGTCTTTTCCCATGCAGAGCTAACTTCTTGGCCAGTGCTTGTTTTTCTTTTCTAGTTTTACCATGTGGGTTGAGCAAGACGCAGTACTCATGACGTGAGCATAGCATGTTGTTATGTCTCAGGATAATGATGTTACTGCTCTTCGTTACTTTCCTAATAGATCCTTAAGGTTTTATCTCCCTTGTGACTACTCTTTAGACACTGAGCTATTGACTTCAGAGAACCACCCACAGTGACTCCAGTATCTTTTTTTCTTGAATGACAGCAAGTAGAAACCTATGGCTATGAAATATAGAGTAGAGTTGGTGTTGCCTATGCGTATTGTTGTTAATTTATCAACAGTGAAGTTTCTCTGCCCTTTTAAACTGATCTTTCTTTATCAAATATTTCTGTGACTCCTAGCCATATTTTTCAAAGAAAATGAACAGCTTCAACCCTGTGGTGAGCGTAAGCACAAAAATTAGTGTTGGACCTAATTCTTGAAAGGCTGCTTTCCAGCCTAAGTGGTTCTTTTCTTTAAATTTTGGTCTGGCTCAGCCTTAAGGAATAGTGAACTTAACAAAAATTTGCTGTCAACTCTAACTTCTTTTGTCACTAATATCTGTTTTTCTTCTTTGTGTCAGATGGTGTGGAGTGGTTGCAGATCAAGGACAGAGATTTTTCCTACAGCAGGCCTAATATGATTTGTAGCTTTCTGCGTGAAAAGGAAGATTCTGAGGAGTCAGCTCAGGCGCAGGACAAATTGACTGAAGACTCAGAGGGAGAGGTGAGCGACAGAGGAAACTCTGACATGAATTGTGATCTGGAGAAGGAGCACGCCTTGGAAACGGAAGCCTCTGTTCCTCTGCCTGACAGCCCTGCTTCTAGGACAGAGGATTCTCCTTCTAGAAGTGTTGCCTTAGATGATGCCCCACCATGATGTCAGCTCTGATACTTTCCAGATTTCTTTGTGGAGTTAGCGGACCAATTTTTAAAGGCCTTGACCTGATGTCCAATATATCTGAGCAATTAATAGTGCAAAAAATGATTTTCTTGCACATTGCTCTTATGTCTGGATCTTAGTGAGCTTTTTAGTATTTGTTTAAAAATGCCAATTGGGAATGTGTGTATCTCTACCTCAGGACTGAAGAGGAGGAAATAGTTTCCTAAGGTAGTTCCTTATTATGTAAAACTTGGTTTTGTACAATCTGGGACGTCTTGTAATGAGGAGGGGGAATAAAGTCCTGACACTTCCAGGTACGATTTCACCTGATGTCATGTTATTCAATCACATACAATGTCTGTTCTTGCACTACGTTTATTTGATTTTTTTTTTTTCAATAAGTCTGTCTGTAATTACCTTTTTGCTAAGACTGTTACTCATCAAATCGGATTGCTTAGTTTGGGTTTTCTATAGCATTTTTCTTCCCCTTCCTTGACTTTTTGATCTTAGAACCTTTTGTTTGTTTGTTTGTTTGGCTTTTATGCCTAAGGTCTTGTAACCACGGGTCAGTGGTTCTCACACTCGTCCTCATGACTATGTCATGATCACCACCGATTTATTCTCATATAAAAGATCAATACCTGGTAGAGTCATTAGATTTTTTTAAAACAGCTTTTTTTAAGCATAAAATGATTTCTTCATAATCCTTTTTCCCTTCCCACTTTACTTGCAACAATACTTAACACTGACTAGGGGATTATGGAAACGCCTACCTAATTCCAGTAGAATTATTTAATACTTTAGTTAGTAAAGGTCGCAGGAGGCATCACCAGCATTGTACACAGGACAGGATCAGTAAAGATAAGTCAATAAAATGGTACATCAGTTTCAAACCATCAATCCCCCTATTCTGGTTTTCTGTGTAGAAGCAATTGATCAATGGGGGCAGGGAGAGAGGAGGGTAGGGAAGAAGAAGAGAGGGTCTTTTGGGTGCTCTCCAGCCTGGGTATGGATCTTCCATGGAAGTGCCTATGCAGTAGGCTTCAGGGAGATCTCGGAACTTTCATTTTCTATTCAACGAGTGGAGTTTTAAAAGCATTATTCAAACTTTATTTTTGTGTTGCTTACAGAGTAGTATTATAATTGGAATAATGATCTCGGGAATAATATGAGCTGGCATAATGTAAGCTGGGCATGCTGCAGAGAGAATAGTGTTTGCTGTCTCATCTGCTGCTGCTGAGAACAGGTGCTTCCACAGATTTCCTCTCTGTCAACACTACAGCATAGCAACTCCCTCCTATGTTTTGTTACCAATTGCAAAAGCTGTCACTATGTATGTTTCTGACCTTTTTGCAGCCTTTTCTTTCAGTTGTATACAGCTATTTCTTTGTTCTACTTTAACTGGGAAATCAGTATTTTTGTCTCTCTGAATGTTTTCTGTACATTATAAACTATGAGCATCTTCATGTCTGAAGATTTTGAATGTTATTTAGAATACTTAAACTTTTCTTTTTATTAATATTAACCCTAATGGTTGCAGTCATACTTGCTCTTTACCCAATTTTTCATCCTTCCTTCCAGAAAACAGGTACTATGAATCCACTGCTGCTGATGGCAAATTCTAGAGCTCTACTAACTTCACCAAAAAAAAAAAAGCTCAACCAGTTGGTTGTTTCAAGTGCAGTTAAAGGTGGTGGTGGTGGTTGTTTAGAGTTAAGAGTACAGCATGAGGATGATGACGGAGTACAGAACTACTGCAGTAATCATCCTTGTTTTATATTGTTTGCGTCCTTGGCTGTAGATGTGCATGTAGACCATCACAGTAGCTACTTGCTGTGTGTACTGTTAAGTACTTTGGATATTGTGACAGTCATTGCTGTATATGACATTAAGACTGCTGATAAAATAGTGTCCATTCCCAGTGTTAGTACTTGAATATAAGATTTAAAAAAAAAAAAAAACCCACTTAAGGGAAGATTCGGAGACAACCTGACTTGCAATAAAAGAAAGTGATTGAGAAGCTGTTAGATTACAGGAGGGTAAGAGCTGCTAATATTGTGAATTAGATGTAGGTGAATAGGGATTTTTCTGCTACAGGTCTTTGGATTTTGTGTGTTTTGCGTTGCTTGTACCTTAACTTTTCAAACCACCGTCAAACAGAAAATTGCAGTGCAAATGCAATATAACCCTTTGAGCAATGTACCATTCAGAGCCTTTGAAATAGCCCGAAGCTTTTCAGAGTGAGGCTGGGTACCAGTTTAAAAGTGATGCTAACAAAGGTTAGGGATTTCAAGCAGAAATAAATCCTTCACGTTTGGTCTGTATTATATAAAACCTTAAATAATGTATTCCTTATGTATATGTATTCCTTAAACGTAATAGTTGCATTAGTCTTTCGAAACGAGGGAGTTTTTGGCGAACTTGGGCTTAAAATTTTATGCTTTTAAGTTCCCCACGGCTCGAGGCAGCGTGACGCGCCCCGAGGGCGCCGTGGCCCCGCCCCGCC